ATTATGAAGAAGAAAATGATGTTTTTCTGTGTTTTCTGTCACTTTTATTCGGATTTATACCGTTTCTCTGCATTTGCAGGCTCTGTTAAAGTTGCGGATTTCATTTGCTCAACTTTGTTTTCCTGCAGGTGGAGACAACTTTGTAGCTTTAGATTTGATCGTTCAGCACGTCCACAGTCAGCTGGAGAAGGTGAGGATTCCCAATCATTTCCCGACTGTTTCACTGACTCAGCTAAAGCCTCACTTTAGTTATTTCAGCACCTTTCAGATAGAAATGTGTTGATGTGTGTTTGAAAAGTGCTGCTTCAGCTGCCGGCCCTGATAAGACTCACTGTTTACCGAGCCGAAGAACAATTTGAACAAAGTCTGCTCTATTTGGATAAAAAAGAAAAAGATGTGGCATTTTTAGATGGGCTCCTTCTGTAGTGCTTCGATACCCTTGGGATGAGAATTTCCCCCAATAAAGTGGAGAAATGTGGAGCTGCTTGTAAAGTGTGGAGGTGTGAACATGGCCTGTCAGGTTTTAAAGGCAGAAAGGTCCATCTTTCCAGCTTTACAAGATTTTTTTCTTTTACTTTTTGTTACACTTGTTTTAATTCATTTAACGTATTTTTTAAAACGCTAGAATAACCTAAATAAGTAATAAGAAGCCGTGTTTAACTTTTCAGTTTCTTAAGAGACATGAAGCTGTCTAAACTAACCTTGACCCATGAACAAAAGGAACAGGATGTGAAACTTAAACAGCTGCTGATTAGAAATAGACGGATATATCATGTTTTTTCATTTATTCGCTGCTGTTCCCTCTATCTTCTATCTCTCGTTTATTTTGATTTCTTTTTCCTTTTAAATTCAGGTTTGTGTAACAATCCTCATTGTAACACTTTGATCATGTAGGCGGAGGAAGAAAAAACAATATTAGCTTTAAAAACTGGAAAGTTTTGATCCATCTGTCTTTTTATCTGTTTACCTGTTAATTGATCCTTCCTTCCTTCCTTCCTTCCTTCCTTCCTTCCTTCCTTCCTTCCTTCCTTCCTTCCTTCCTTCCTTCCTTCCTTCC